TAGAGACGGGGTCTCGCTCTTGCTCAGGCTGGTTTCGAACTCCTGAGCTCAAACAACCCGCCCGCCTTGGCCTCCCAGAGAGCTAGGATTACAGGCGTGAGCCACAGCGCCCGGCCTAGTTACCCATTTTTTTCGTGTGGCAAAAGCATTTAAAATCTCATATACGGCACAATTTGATCACCCTACAGTCCTCATGTTGTACATTAGATCTGTAGACTCGTTCACCCTACATATCTGCTACCCCTAGGATTGACTTACATTACTATTTTTTAAATTCATGCAAACCAAACTAGGCATAAACTCTATCCTAAAGCTTACACACAATCATAAAAACCAAAGAATAAATATTTAATGGAAGAATGAATACAGATTAAATACAAACAAAACTGGAAACCAAGGAAATCCAAATTTACTGCACTAAATAGCAGATAAACATGGTTCTGGCTACTGACTACACAGGTTCCTTTGAATGTGGCATGCACACTACTTCATGCTATGGGGAAGATTCAATTCTCTCACTTTTCTTTGACTTGCTGAAAAACTTCTGTTCATACAGCAGGTCATTTGGTCTTTACCTCTTGCTCATCCACCATTTATATCCCACAGCTCATTCTTTCATGGTGCCAAACGTTGATCATAAATGCAAACAAATGTGAGCTCTGAAATTGCTTGGAAGGTTTCAGAATTAAGTTGGTTATCCAAATGGTCCAAATGATGCTTATGTTACTTTTTAAAATCACTATGGAAGTGGCCAAAGTCAGAAATTTTCTAAAGCACAGACTCCAAGAATACATCCTTTGGTTTGAAAAACACTGCAGCAATCAAATGAAAGATAAATATTGTATAATTCCTACTTTCAAAAAGTCTAAGCAGGGAAGAAGAGACACAATAATTGTGATTAATAAAGACAGTGAAAATGCCAGCAGAGGGGGACAATTTAAGCGCTATGAAGGTTCAAATGAGGAAGAAATTATTTCCAGCATTTGAATTGAACATATAAGGATGATCATATTTAGATAGATGAAATGGACTCTTGTCAGAAGAGTCGACGTCAGTAAATGCACATAGGTGGGAAAGTGGAAGGTGTTTATAAAGAGAATGAAATAATTCCGCATGTACACACATGCATAGGGGGTACTTGGTGGGACAGCAGTGGAAACTGTAGCCAGAAAATTAAATGAGGATGTTTCATATGCCAGGATAGAGAGCCTGCGGTTCATCTGGAAGGTTTCTGAGCAGAGTAGCCTGCCCTTACTATGTTACAATGGAATCATTTGGGTGCAGGATGCTTTTGTTTTCAAAGCTCACGAAGTCTCAATTTCCAAACAGCTTCATACATACATACATACATATGTTTCAAGCATTTTTTTTTTTTTTTTGAGACAGAGTCTCACTCTGTTGCCTGGAGTAGAGTGCCGTGGCGTCAGCCTAGCTCACAGCAACTTCAAACTCCT